AAAGAAAGATAAATATCACATGATCTCACTCATTTGTGGAATATAATGAAGAACATAAACTGAGGAACCAAAATAGATCCAGAGACATAGAAGCATTGAACAGACCATCAAACCTCAGAGGGAAGGGAGGGGAAAGTGAGAGGCGGGTGGGTAAGAGTCAACCAAAGGACTTGTATGCATGCATGTAAGTATAACTAATGGACACAGACAGTATGGGGGGTGAGAGCATGTGCTGGGGGGGCGGGGGGAGCAGCCAGGGAGAAGTCAATGGGGTAAAAAAGGAGACATACGTAATATTTTCAACAATAAAGAATTTAAATTTTAAAGATCTGTCTTTATTTTGTTCTTTAAAAATAGGAAAGAGCCCAAACCAGTTTGGCTCAGTGGATGGAGCGTCGGCCTGTGGCCTCGAGGGTCCGAGATTCGATTCTGGTCGGGGGCATGTACCTTGGTTGCGGGTACACCCCCAGTGGGGAGTGTGCAGGAGGCAGCTGATCGATGTTTCTCTATCATCGATGTTTCTAGCTCTCTGTCCCTCTCCCTTCCTGTCTGTGAAAAATCAATAAAATATATTTTTTAAAAAATAAGAAAGAAATGAAGTTTTACTAATATTTAAAATACTTTCTCAATAGCATATGTATTTAATGTATAGATAATTATATATATAAACCATGCATATATTTTATTTGTATAGTGTACCAACTTGCTTTAACACAGCTCAAACTATACTCAAAAATAGAATCAGCCGAAACCGGTTTGGCTCAGTGGATAGAGCGTCAGCCTGCGGACTGAAGGGTCCCAGGTTCGATTCCGGTCAAGGGCATGTGCCTGGGTTGCGGGCACATCCCCAGTGGGAGATGTGCAGGAGGCAGCTGATCGATGTTTCTCTCTCATCGATGTTTCTAACTCTCTGTCTCTCTCCCTTCCTCTCTGTGAGGAATCAATAAAATATATTTTTAAAAAATAGAATCAAATGATATAAGACCTAATATTGTCACTCTACAGTCACAGTTACACCTAGACAATTGTTAGAGTCTTGATGCTAAACACTGTTAGCCATTTAATTTACTATACTCTAGTTTTTTCTCTCTGCCATTATGACAAAACATCCCAACTTCACTACCTTTCCAAAACCAGATGACACAAAATTGCTAACCATATTACTTTTACCACTACCTCTGGGGAATACAGCTTTTAGTACAAACAATTATCAGAATTTCTTCTTGAAACTTGGAAGTGTCCTGTAACAACTCTATAAGTTTTGAAAGGTAGAATCATGACTTTTAGTTGGGATTGTTTTTTAATCATTGAGTGGATTTTGAAGATAGGAGCAGGTGGGGAAAATAAGTGTGTATTTAGAAAATATAATGGACTCCCTATTTCCTTGTTTGCCAGAGGTAAACATCTGTTCTTCCCCTCAAGTCCTCAAATATACCAAAGAATTAAGGATCCTTCAGTATGAGGTTGTAATCTATACTAAGCAATGGAGAAGCCTGGGCAAGCAGTTTTCATGAATACTGTATCTTTAAATAGAAAAGACACCCTGCCACCAAAAATCTTGAAATATCCTAGTTTCTTTTATTTCAGGTTTCTGCCAGACTTGGCTTCATATAAACATTAACTCTGCAATTATCCAGTTGAAATTACCTATATAGTTTAAATATTTCCATTCATTTCCCCAGGTTAGTGATATTTTTCTGAAAAATCCTTTGATGTCACAAGAACATTTTTCTCCTTCAAATGCCATTGCTGCCGATTTTCAGCAAGTATTAGGAAAGTATATGGTATGTAACCTCCAACTGTATTCGTAAACATTGTTAGTATTGCAGCTTTCAAATCAGTTAGGAATTATGAGTTAAGAGCTGTAACGATGAATTCGACTGAGAACTATCTCTATATAATGATAAGTAATGATATCCATAATGTATTGATAAATGAATAAAATAAGATAAAGTCTGTATGGTATACTGTTACTTATTTACATATGCAACCATTTAAGGAAAAGGGAATAAATACAAATATATTTATTTGTTCACTTACAGTATAAAAGAAAAAAAAACAAGTGCTGGAGGTGTGCAAGGAAAGGATAAATCAAAAAGATTCCAATGGTTGCCTGTGGTAAAGATGGGGACAGGAACAAAAACTGGACCTCTCTGAATAAAATTTGTTTTACAAATTTGACTTTGGAACCATGTATATATTTTACCTAATTTTAAAATACTATTAAGTTAAATATTTAACTAATAGTTCCAACTAAGTGAAATAAGGCAGTCACAAGAGGACAAATATTATGTGATTCCACTTATATGAAGTACCTAGAATAGTAAGATTTATGCAGACATCAAGCAGAATGGTGGCTGCCAGAGCCTGGAAGGAGGGGAGGAAGAGGAGTTATTATTTAATGCATACAGACTTCCAATTTGAGAAGTTGAAAAATTTCTGGAGATACGTGGTGGTGATAGTTGCAAAACAGTGTAGATATACTTAATAATACTGAACTATAACAGTTAAAAATTGTCAAAATTGCAAATTTTGTTATATATATTTTATCATTATAAAAATGTTTATTTAGAAAAGTAATCCCTAAAACTCAAATTTGAAAAGAACCCAACTGTGTATGAAATGTCCTCAACATGGCTGCTCACTTCTTCAAGGCCAACAAAGGAATCCCTCTCACTCCAATCTGCTAAATATTATATAATCCGATATAATAAAGAGGTAATATGCAAATTAACCATCATGCCCTCACAAGATGGCTGCCTGTGACCAGGCTGGCAGGGGGGTTAGTGGGGGACGACCAAACGACTGAACAAGCAGTCTGTGTGGGGAAACCAGGACTGCAGCAGGGTTAGTGAGGGATGACCAAATGACT